GGGGTTCTTATGAAATGACTGCATCACCCCACCCATTCCCATGGTGGCATTGGGACCCAAAACTAGTCCAGATGTGTTTTCCAATCCCAGAAGGAAAATCCAGTCTATATCTTTAATACAGTAAATATCCTAACATACTTTGAAAATACTGGACACTGATCTGTAAAAGAAGCATAAGGAGAAGATTTTGAGAAGCTTTTGGAGTAGAGCAGAAGAATATAACACTTAGCTGCAATCTTATTTGCCCTGCCCATGCACAAATACTGTTCCATTTTATTGTTGTTTTGGTGATCAAGGTGGTTTAAATGTACATTTTCACCCATGCTCATCTGTGGGTTGGCATGGCACTTAAATAAGTGATACTTTCAACCATGTGTTAAATAAAATTTGGCTTTTTTTCATTGTGATATGAGCACCACCCAGCTATGAGGTTGGACAAATATAAAGCTGGCCGATCCTTATTGGTAACGCTGTTAATTTTAACTTGTTAATTTAACTTGTATTTTAAATGTGTACTTTCAGACCACTTCACATAGCCGCACGGAATGGACTTAAAAAGGTTGTGCATAATTTACTCAGCAAAGGTGCAAGCGTTCTTGCTGTGGATGAAAATGGTATGTGTCAGTTGCTGCTCTCGGTTTATTCAATACCCCACCAGAAATAACAATTCAATACTGCAATACCTCTAAACGTCTAACTGAAAGCACTCGACTTTGGCATGACTTAAACAATAGAAGCATATCTTTTGAAAACGACTGTCTTACCTCCCTTTTTATTTCTGCATTTGCCTCATATACTAACCATTCCCTTGTCTGCTTTTGTGCCCAGGTCACACCCCAGCCCTGGCTTGCGCTCCTAACAAAGATGTGGCTGACTGTTTGGCACTCATTTTGGCTACCATGATGCCTTTCTGTCCTACCAGCACAATGACGTCCTTCAGCATCAGTCTAACAAAAAATGGTAGTCTGAACACACCTCTATCTTATGATTCCCCTAATATGGATAGCAACATAAATTCTTTCAACAAACAGTTGTACAACCGTGTAGGAAAAATGGATAGAGGTCAGGAAGATGATGATGAAAATGATTCAGACTCTGAGACATTCTGATTGGTTTTAGAAAGCTTGACACGCACGAGAAAAGTTTTAATTTGTCGTTCAATTGAAGATTACAGACGATCTCTCAATCACTGCATATTAAAAAAAGCACTTATTTGAAGGCACTTTTCTTACAGGATTTAAGAGGAAAGCAGAATCTTGGAATATTGATTCGTAGAGGACTATTGAGTAGGGCACATGATTTGCTAATGCTCAAATCTGCCAGAAGTTGGCATTTTCACTCTCTCTGGGACATTTTATGCAAATTTGTGGTACTTGGGCCACAAATTTTGCTACTTGCAGTACCTGTGGAAGTTTATGGGCTTTGTCATGACTGTGTTTTCCCATGCCAAATTGCTTGCCCTACAGTGAGATATTATAACTTTGACAAATTAGCACAAGCATGCATTTTGCACTTCCTGTTAAAAACTTGTGATAATAGAGTTGTTAGGAACTAACCATACACCTGAGCCGTTAACTACTGATAAACTTTGAATGACCTGTCCCAGGTTGCAGTGTCAAGTATTCATAAGTTAAAAGAAAACTTGATGGCACCCTTTTATTTTAAATGTACCAGTGACTTTAGGTGACTGTTCTTTTAGCAGAATAGTATTTCATACCTTTTTTGTACAGCCTCCATTGGCAGCCTTTAAACAATGTATAGCAATTTTGTTTAAATCTACCCGTCTGTAGGATGAAGAGAGTAACTGCCACAAAGAACAGTTCTGATGAAATCTGCTTCATCTGCCAAAGCTTAATAAGTTAAATGGACCTATTCTTTCACCTGTGACAGGAACGCAGCAGGTGGAATAACAAGTTCTTTTTGTGTCTGGCCAGCGATGCCAAATGGACCAAACATGCTACAGATTGGGACTGACTGTTTTCATTCTTTTAAACTTAAAAGCCTTTTTTAATCATAATATTTTCATAGCTACATTGAAGTAGCCTGTTTCAGTAAACAATACAGTATTTGAAATACAAAAAATGCATTTCACATAAGTGAGATCAGATATTGTTAGATTAGAAATCAGCAAGATAAAGCTTCAGAAAGTACAAAACCTTATTTGGAAACTATTACATTGCTCTTTGCGGTGGCTGAGCAATTACTGCAACCTTGCTATTTTGACTAAAAGCACTGAAAAACTTGCAAGAAACCTTAATTGTCTTGTTACAGTAGTACTGTATATAGCTGTCCACGCAGATAAAATTCAAGAGACCTCTGATATGAAATTGCTTTAACGCAATTAAGTACCATATCATATTAAAGCACTGAAATTGAAGGAAAAATGCCAAAAGTGATAGTTGTGTCTGGAGAAGACAAGTGTTTTGTTAACTAACTTTAGTAAAAGCTTACAGCCACAATATCATTTTGGAGCCATCTGCTTCTCCATTTTATTTACTGAAATGAAATCAGCTGGTGACTTCTCTATTGTGGCTGTTTTATAAATACATTTTTTGTTTGTGTATTTAAAGTTGACTTGTTTGAATCAATGGGATACAAAATTAATACATTTTTAAGTGCACAATTTAAGCAGTTACTGATGTACTTTTGAACTTTTTATAGTTTTTAATATAAACATGGAAAAAAAACCTGACAAAATAAATACTGGAACTTCGAGATCCATTGCATTGTGATTGGCAATCTTTGTAGCAAATGCTTTCACTTGGGTTGATATCAAATACTATTTTGTTTTTGTTGCTTTATGAAATAGTTAGTGCCTTTCTGCCCATGAGTACTTTCCAGATGGTTTCCAAATATCTTACAGAACTTTGCTAATTAATATCCAAGCAATAATGTTAATTTAAATTTTGAATTTAAAATGAATGTAAAATTTTCTTTTTAAAGGTTCAAAACATCTGAATGAAGAGTGCTTTGTTCATTAAACCATCATGGATTGTTTTTGCAGTGTTGTAGATTGCTGTAGGTCTTGCTGAAGACTTAGCTTATCATTAATTTGGAAAAGGGCATTTATAAATTTGACAATCTGTGTATTTTAAAACCATAAAAACAATTATTTGTGGAAGCTTATGCAGTGGTCCATTCATTTAAAACACCTATATCTTCCATTTGGTAATCTTGTTGACTTATATGCTTTAGCATGTGCAATATGTCTTGTTATGGTATAGTATGGTATCATGATACAGTGACAGTGTTATATTTTGTTTTATGCAGTGAATGTGTAACAATCTAGTGAAAATGAAAATGTACAGTGGAAGCAGTAGTCTATGGAAATTTTATGTATTTGGTCATATTTCTACAGTTTAGAGGGTATAAATTTAAAGACTTTTTTTGATGTACTTCAAGACTGTCAAAGTGTAAGAAGTAAATCCAAATCAATTTAAATCCAGCCTGGACCTCAAGCACACTTTGCTCTTAGACTTTTGTGAACTACTGAATGCTTCAGTGATGTATAGAAGTACTTATTGTAAACTACTTTTTTTTATTAAAAGCATTCAGATGCTGTATATTTTTATGAAAATAAAGGGTACAGATGCTGATGCAGCAAGTTGATTTACTTTGTCTTTCTTGATATGCTTTCTGCATTTAAGTCCTAAACAATTTTAGCCAAAAATGTTAAATTTGATCCTTTGTCCATTTCATTGAGAAGCATGCTGAGGCTGTTTCAACATTAATTTCTATTTAATGCTTACTAATTTAAAAATAAACTATTTGGGGTCAATTTTGAGTTCCCTCGTCAGTATTAATGGGGTGGTAGCAGCTTAAGTGGGGTCATGCCTTACCCAGCCCCATCACCAGTGATTCCTGTTGATATAAAAATTAGGGTTCTTTGACATGAGTCTTGTACTTGACTCTGATTAGACCCATAGGTGAAGAATAAGAAAGAGGTTTGTTAAAAATGAGTCTTGATTTCTTATTTGTGGGTCCTAGAAAAGAGAGGGGTCCTCCTGGCCTGTGGGAATATTCTGAGCCCCTGCTGGGGGCCCATGATTGTGATTCCTTTGGTGAGCTGCATCGTGCGCCTGTTCTAACTTGCAGCTTGAGTAGAAAGTGTAAATAAGGCTAGAATCAAGATCTTGCAGCCAGTTTGCTGCTAGAATGAGTGATTCAACATAGGTTGACTGTCCAAAAGTTAAATCTATTTTTTTTAAACTTTATCTTGGAGTCCACCTTTTTCCTTAACTTTGCATTGAAGAAAAAATATTATTGCATTAAATTTTAAATTTAATACTTTTTCTTTTCTCCTGAAAGTGATTAATGTTAGTTTTTTTTTAAATTTATTCATTCGTGGGATGAGGGCATCGCTGGCTAGGCCAGCATTTAATGTCCATCTTTGTTTACCCAAAGGGCAGTTAAGAGCTTACCACATTGCTATAGGTCTGGAGTCACATGTAGGCCAGACTAGGTGAGGATAGCAGATTCCTTCCTTAAAGGACATTAGTGAACCAGATGGATTTTCCCAAAAATCAACAATGGATTCATGGTCATCATTAGACTCTTAATTCGAGATGTTTTATTGAATTCAAATTCCACCATCTACTGTGGCAGGATTCAAACTCGGTTCCCAGAACATTATCAGGGGCCGCTGCATTAACAATCCAGTGATAATGCCACTAGGTCATTGACTAGCCTTGCAGGGTATCATGAGAACCATCAGTCTTATCATATCTTGCTTAATTTTCCATTCTTAACCTGAGTAGTGAGTGTCAGGATATTCTGTTTGGTCGCAATGATATTCTCTACTTGGATTCAGAGTTGACTAATTTTAAACAGCAGTTTCAAAAAACAGACTAATACATTGCACTATATTAAATAGTAAGCAACTAATACAATCTACATTTCCATTAAGTCATGTTCAAGTTGATAAAACTTGTAATCTTTCACACATGAACTTCCAACCAGCCTGAGGGCTCTTCCATATGTAAAATTAAATAGAGATATGAGAGACAATTTGAGCTGTATTTGTGGGCAGCACGGTGGCTTGACAGTTAGGACTGCCACCTCACAGCTCCAGGGACCCAGATTCGATACCTAGTGCTCTGGGTTCCTCCCACAATCCAAAGATGTGTAGGATAGGCTGTGGGAGATGCAGGATTACAGGGATAGGGTAGTGCTGTGGGTCTGGGTGGGATACTCTTCGGCAGCTCAGTGTGGACTTGGCATGCTTCCACACTGTAGGGATTCTATGTATATTAGGTGATAAGGGTGTGTCTTAAGTAAGCAACTCTAGTTGGCAGTTTGAAGGGGACTTTTGAAATATATTAGAAAACTTTCTGGGCCACTGCCAAGGCTGACTGACTTATTCCAGAACGTCTCTGAGGACTTCATCTAAAAACATTAGGGATATGCTACTCCACCTTTTTGAGCATGTTATATGCAAAATGCAAAGTTTAGAATTGAATCCTATGATAACCATTAAACTTGTTGATTGTGGGAAGCCTCGTCTGATTCACTGATGTTCAGTAGGGAACAAAACTGCTGCCTTTATATGTTCTAGCCTACATGGTCCAGACTCACAAAAATTTGTTTGAGCAATTTGAGATGAGCAATAAATGTTGACCATACGGTGAATAAATAAATAAACATTGCCAGGAGAAAGGGAGAGCTTGGTCATATGCATCTTTTTGTGGGTCCCCCTTTGTAGGATGAATGGCAGGAGGAAATGTGACCAGGGATAGTAACGCTACCTGCTGCAGGTAAGGAACAAGGGCAATATGGACTGCTTTCTGTTTGCAAGTACAGGAAATTTCTTCTCTGGGCATCTCTTCCAGCAGATACCTCCAAGGCCATATCTCTCAACCTTTACATTCCTCTCAAATCCAAATGGTAATGATTGGCAATTTAAGATCAAAATTGTCTGCTTAAACCAGACTTTCAAACAGATCTTTCTCATTAGCACAACACTCACTTAGCATCTGTTTTTCCCCCTTCCACCAAAACAACATTATTCAATTTAAATTTTAAAAAAAGCAACAAGATAGATGTTTGAAGGGGAAGAATATAAAATGATTGTCGGAGATTGGGTTTTCAAGATGGAGCATCAGGACAAGGGGTCCAAATATCCTCTTGTGCAATTGTTTGTATAATTATATGAAAATTCTCCCTTGGTGATTTTTGAATGCAAAGAGTGTATCTAAAATGTTGTGCTGAGCTGAGTTTATGATTTTGAAAAACACTGAACTGACAGCCCCTCACAAAATCTCTTTGGTTCAGGTTTATCCACCATCCAATTTTGACTTGGGAAGTTGCAGTATAAATTAGCTTTACCTAAGATTCCAGTTAGAGTTATCACCTTCACATGGATCAGATGTGTAACCAAAATCTAAGGACCTGGATGTGTTATGACATACAGATTGGGAAAAACTCCGCTGGGGCTTTTTGGATATGGTTTCAAGAGGATTGTCAGTGAATTATAGAACTATGAATAATTATAGGTAGTGTTATGATTTCGGTAGAGACTACGTGGTTATTGTTTAAAAACAAAATATTATACTAAAATAAGAGCATAAATATGAATAGCTACACTTTTTAATGTTACTGTACAAGATAAAGTAAACTTAACATGGTCACATACTTTAAATTGAGCTTCTTAACTCAAATTTCTTTCTACACTCATTTAAGTCACATAACCCACCCTCAAAAAAACATCAGAAACTTAACAAAAAATTGGGAGAATAACCACTTGTTCTGAGTACTGTTTCAACAATTCATATCAAGGTTAAGATTCTTGGATCTTCCAATTACTTACAGTAAAGTTGTCCCATCACACTTCTCCCAATTAAAACTGTGTCACGAGCAATTTAGTACTTGCAATCAATCAAATTTGATCTTGCAGCTGGTATCAGTCTAGTTCTCGTCACTTCCCTCCCTCTCTCCTTGTCCCACCTTTTACTCCCACCATCTCTCTTGTCCTCCCCCTTTGTCTCTCTTCCGTCCCTTCTCCCTGTCTTCTCTCCCATTTTCTTTTGCACCCTCCTGCTTTCTTTCCCTTACTCCTCCTTTCTCATAGATGTTTACAGCACAGAGGAGGCCATTCAGCCCATAATGTTCATTTTGGCAATGAAGATCTGGTACACAAATACCATTTTCCATCTCATGGCCCATAGTCCTGGAGGCAATAGCAACACAAATGAATATCAAAAAGCTTCTTGAATGTTATGAGTGATTGTTGACAAAATCATCCATTCAGGCATGAGTTCCAGACTCCCACTACTCCCTGGGTGAAAACATTTCTCCTTGATTCATCTCTTTAGCCTACTAGCTCTTACTTTAAATTTATGGCCACAAGTCACTGAACCCTCTACTAATGGAAAAAGTACCTTTCTGTCTACCCTAACAATGTCCTTCATAATCTTCCACAATTCTATCAGATCTCTTCTCAGCCTTCGTTGCTGGAAGGATCACAACCCCAGCCAATCCAATCTTTCCTTTTAGAGCAGTCCCTTCAGCCCATTCAGCATCCTAGAAAATCTTCTATGATGATTTGACCAGAACTGCAGCAGTCTTCCAGTTGCGACCTCACCAGCATTTTATACAGTTCCAGCATAATCACCCTGCTCTTGTAATCTGTGTCTTAGCTAATTTAAAAAAAAAAGTATCCTGTATGCCTTCTTAACTAACTTACCTACCTCCTACTACTTTCACTGATCAATGGGTATACACGCCAAGGCTGCTCTGACCTTCAGTCCTTTCTATGGTATTACCATTCACTGTGTAATCTCTTGCCTTGTTAGGCCTGTTCAAGTGCATTACCTCACACTTTTATCTATTTTCTGTTTTAAAATCTATTTTCAACTGCTCTGCCAACCTGAAAGCTTATTAATATCCTTCTGTGGTTTACAGCTATCGATCCTATTAATTTTTGTGTCATCCACAATTGTCTTGATCATACTCCAAATTTAAGTTCCAATTATTAATGCTCACCATGCTGAAACCCACGAGAAAACGACTTTCAGTCACAGAAACGTTCATCTACCATCACCCTCTGCTTTCTGCCTCTAAGCCAATTTTGGATCCCGTGGCCTCTTACTTTTTAACCAGTCTGCCGTGAGGGATGGGATCTAAATCCTTGCTGAAGTCCATATAGACCAAATCAAAGCATTATCCTGACCACACTTCTGGTTACAGAGACAACAAGGTGCAGGGCTGGATGAACACAGCAGGCCAAGCAGCATCATAGGAGCAGAGAGGCTGACGTTTCGGGCCTAGACCCTTCATCAGAAAAGGGGGAGGGGAAGGGGGTTTTTGAAATAAATAGGGAGAGAGTGGGATCCCTTGAGGTTTGTCCGGAGGGAGGAGGGTAACTTCTTCAGGTTAGGCATCCTTAGAAGAGGTTTCGCAGTGGGGTTAAAATCGAATCAGAGATAGTAGGAACTGCAGATGGAATCAGAGATAGTAGGAACTGCAGATGGAATCAGAGATAGTAGGAACTGCAGTTCCTACTATCTCTGATTCGATTTTAACCCCACTGCGAAACCTCTTCTAAGGATGCCTAACCTGAAGAAGTTACCCTCCTCCCTCCGGACAAACCTCAAGGGATCCCACTCT